GGCTCTATACTTTTAATTCATAAACAAAAATAAACATGACTATTATTAGCCTTATCTTCTGATTGAAGCCAGTTTCTTTGCAGATGTAGAAAGTGCTTTTTAATTTAAGGACTAGTATTAGGTTGGTGCAAAAATAATGACGTAATAATGTCGTTTTTTGACATTAAAAAATACGTCAAAAAACGACATTATTACGTCATTATTTTTGCACCAACCTAATAGTTATAGGATCAGAATAAAATGAAATTACACTAAAACAGAAAACAAATTTCAAGTTCCCTTTTCATTTATATCAATTAACCATTCTTCATTTAAAATCTGAACTTCATAAATTTTTAGGCACAGAAGAAAAAAAAAAAAACTTTGATATACTCATTCAAAATGAGTAATGTTTTTTTGTTTGTTTTTTACTTTTGTCAGATTACATCTACAAATTTTGAAAGTTCAGCTTTATGCATAAATAATGATACATTGCCTCTAAATACATAACATTTCAACATTGAAATTAAGCATGTTTATGCATATCATACAAGAGAGAAAGCATAATGAAAATATTTGCTTAACAAAAATAAAAAGTGAATAAGCCTAACATAATGGAAGATAATTAACAGCAATTATTACAAAGGAAAATTTAAACGGAATTCTTTTTGCTCTTAAACAGAAGGGGACTTATATATGAAAAACATTATTTCATGAGATGAAAGGTTACATAAAAATTTTGAAAAGTTATCTCCAGAATGAATGTAATGATTTTGTATTTGGTCCACATCAAATGATGAAAATTTTAACATGTGCAAAATGTTTCATTTTCTGATTGTGAACTACCAGTAAATCGATTTCAAGTTTTTTTTCCCCCTTCCTCCAAATCAATCTGAACAATCAATCTTGATTTAAATAAAATCCTTTCCTCAACAAAAAAAAAAAAAAAAAAAACTGGCAGAATTCAATTTGATAACTTAAAAATAAAACCAAAATTAGACAAAAAAAATTATTTTATACTCAAAGATTTATTGAGTACACTCAATTAAGACTAGGCAGATTTTGTCAAAACAGAGTTCAGTAAACAAACTTATTTCACAAAGAATGTTTTGATGATTTTTAAGAATTTATTCAAATATTCCTGTTTGGCATTAGACTTATAAATACAGTAATTGTTTTATAGAATTTTATTAGAATCAAAATCAAATACTCAGACCATAAGAGCTGATTTTTAAGACACTTCTAAATACATGTCTTAGACTATTAAATCATTATTCATAACATTTTCAGATAATTGCATCTGAAATGATAAAGTGTTCTATTAAAATAACTGTCCAAGAACAAAAAGAATTCATGAAAATTATAGGGCTGTAAAGGAACTCTTATTTACCTAAAGGTGGGCAAATATAAACAAATATTTCATATTTCAAAAGGCCTGTCAGGCAGAAATCTCACATATTTAACAATTTGCAATACAAATTTCCAAACTTTTACAAAAATGTATTCAATGGGAATTTGAAAAAAAAAACTTCTATTTCAGTTTTAAGGTGGGAATGAGGAAAGATAGGTTAGTGATATCCTTTACTGGAAAGGGTTTAATGTAAAATCTCAAAAAGGAAACAAGGAATTATTTTAATGATTTCAATTCTTTTTGAAAGGCAAATGTATAAAAGTTAAGAAAAATGGTACCAGAATTTGTATTAGGTGGTAAGTTGTTCAAGTCAGCTGCAATCAAAGTGGGGAGGAGAGCAATGGCCAGCAAGAAAGTCACAAAAAGAAGGGAGGTCAACAGGAAATAATTTGAGAGGACAGGGGATCAATAACCAAAGTATTCAACCAGTCTTCACTTTCACCATTATTTATATATTGAGATTAAATAAGTTTCATATTTTTTCTTTGTATAAGTAGGAAAATGAAAAGCTTTAATCTAAAACATTTCCCTGCAAAATGGACGCCAGAATGTACAGACATCTCAAAATATTAAGATGATTGTCAGTGCAAGGAAGCTTCTTTATATTTATTTTTTTTAAAAATAAAAGGTTGTCTCTTAGTAGTCAAGTAAAAAATAAAAATTCCCTAAATACCTAAACAGGAATAATTGTGGAAATATTTAATCTTAAAGCATTATCAAATTTTTATGACTAAGTGAACAGGTAAATTTTTTTCTTACAAAGTAAATAATTTTATTGGAAAATAACGGTGGGCAAACTACTTTGTAAAAAGAAAAAATTTTAAATTCATTGGTCTTATTTTCCAATTATATTTATGGCAAATATTTAGTCAATATGAGATAATCTAGCAAAAAAAAAAAAAAAAAAAAAGTTTTGAAGATTGAATTCATTTGCTTATATTGAAAATAGATTTATTATCTAGAAGAATAGATGGAAATATTAAAGAAAAGAAGTGTTTTACAATGATATAGTATATTTGAATTAAGATTGAAAAAGAAAATAGTTTATTATATGTAGCAAGTTAAGCTTAAAATTGAATTTATTGGTTCTTTTATCTCTTGGGAGTAACCAGAGTAACATAACTTATTGCATAGTACATTTTGCATATCTTGGTTGAGAAAAATCAAATCCTCTATCAAACTTAATTTGAAGATTTTCATACTTTAAAGACATGTTAAAGACATGTTAAAGACACTGAAAAACTAAAGAGATAACAGCAACCAGCAGTTTAAAAAAAAAAAAAAATTAATTTTAATCCTGCTGTCATCCTAAGGCAAAAATTTGCAAAAGTGATATTTTTTACTTAATTTAGTACTGAAAACTATCGGTCATAAACTAGTCAAATGAAGCAACTTTTGCCTGATAATGAGAAACCCAAATATTTCATAATCCCCTTTTCAGTTTCCTAAAACATTTAACAAATAATGATAAATTAAGAATAATAGAACATTCTATTAAGTTAGGAACCTCCACGAAATCGCTAAAAAAGAGCATAGCTTGATGAAAAAGACGCCAACCTTGCTGAAAACAAAATTTTATTGTCTAAATGCTTATGTTATTATTAAGAGGAAAGACCAAAGTTTTTTTTTAATTATTTTAAAAGAATTTTCCTTCTTTTTAGAACATTCTAAATTTTGATTAAAAAAACCTTGTTTCTATTTGTATCAGTGGAACTAGTAAATAACAGACAATTTTTAGCACGTTTTTTTGGTATGACACACATTAATTTGAAAAATCGTGCAAAAATAGAAATAATTATCGGATGTTAATGAAACTTTCAGGAACTATTCACAGATGATCGAAATTATTATAAATATGTTATTTTTTATGAAAGTCATGGTAGAAATATTTTTTTAAAATATTTATTACCCCCATAACTAATTTTATGAAAACGCTAGAAATTCGATTGCATCGGTTTTAGTGATTACAATAATTAAAAGCACAGGGCTTTGAGGAATGCAAATCATGTTTTTTTTTGTTTTTAATTGGATACGCAGTACCTGAAAATCAGCTCTGAATTGTAACATACAAAACTCAATAAAACAAATATATTATTTAATTTCAAATGCTTTTATTTGCTTTTAGTTGTTTTTATGAATATGGACAATATTTTCTGAAAGCAAAAATTTTTTTCGATTAAAATGAATTTTTAATAAAATTATTTGTTATTTCTTTAATTATAATAGATTTTACATTTAAGTTGTTAAAATATTATAAAATTAGTTAAAAGTCAAGATCGGCTTTCATAAGTGTCCTTATGAGATAGATCTTTTTTTAGCGTTGTAAATTGTATCATTTTGACTAATCAGAAGATCCCCAGTAATTAAGAAATGTAATTTTGTGCTTATAATTGAGCTGTAATTATAAAATACGGAAGACCAACCAGAATATAATTAAGTTCGTTATTTGAGTTAAGCATTGTTCTCCGCTGTTAAGGCCTTTACTTTTTGCAAAACACGTGTGGAGAAGTTAATTTGATTTTTTCAATTTCAACCGAGAAGGGTACCTACAAGTATCAGTATCATCTTATGAAATTTATATGACCTTATTTTTATATTAATCTCAGTTACTTACATTTTTCCATAAATGAAATATCAAAATTAATAATAAAATGAATGCAAATACAAATAACAGTAGAATGTAATAAATGTACATAAAATTATAGTATTTTATGTACAATTCTGATAAAATTTCATAAGAAAGGTACCTATAAATTAATTAGATACCTTTCTTAAGAAATATGAAATTTAATGTCACTCTTAACAGTTTTATTTTAATTTCTTTACAATATATTTCCCATAAAGTATCATAAACGTAAAAGGTGAAAGCTAAGTACAAAAAAAAAAAAAAAAATTAGACGCTGAAAGTTTTCGTTAAAAAAAATAGGGGGTAAATAATTTGTTCACGTAAATGTAAATTATTTCACTTTTCTCCTTCCGTAGAACAAATTGGCCTCATGGAATTAAGTAAATATATCATTCATCACATGTCAAGAGACGCGAAAGTTTATGACCTGCTTTGTTTTATTTTCAAATTACATCTTTTTGGCACAAAAGCTAAGTTAAGTTTGGTTAAAAATATTTTAAATAAACATTATAATTTCTGATTTTCTTAAAATAAGTTTTGAAAAAATGATAATTGATATTTAAAAAATTTCAAAGTCAGATTTCCAGTTTTTTTAAAATGGAAAAAAAAATGGTCAATTTGCTGACTCAAAAAAAAAAAAACTAGATTTTTAACGAAAATTTCGGACGTGCTAGGAATGATTAAAAATGGAAAAAATACCAAAAAAAATACTTTGACCTTTCCTCTTAATAATAACAAACATTTAGACGATAAAATTTTGTTTTCATCAAGTTTGGCGTCTTTTTCATCATGCTGTTCTTTTTTTAGCGATATCGTGGAGGTACCTATATTAAGTATCATTAATTTTTTTCAAATACCATGGCTGTTTAACTTGGTAGCAATATATAAAGCCTAACAAAGATGATTGCATAGGAAAGTGATATGAACTCAATAAAAAATAGTAGTGATGAGTGAAGGCCTAGGAGAAAGGAGGAAAATACTTACGAGCTAGAACTGGATCGAGAATGTGACCTTGAACTTGAGCTAAGAGAACGTGGCCAAGATTCTTTTCTTTTTTTTTTATCATTTTTTGGACACGCTTCTTCAGTTCTATCTTTTCTTTTCTTGTCATCTAAAACAGAAGAAAACAGCAACATTCAGCTGAAGCACTAACAGAATGCCTACTTATAACTAGTAAAGAATAATGAAGACCTAGAATACATTTTTAACAACTGATAATGAAGTATTATTCCAGACAATATTCAAACCAACTTTCTTCAGTGTTTCCAAGTTTTAGCCAGAGAACACACCAAGCAAAACCTTATGATCCAAACATGGATAAGTTTTGATACATATAACTCATGGAATAAAAAAACCTGAAGACAATAACTCATTTTAATGTAACTTTGCTTACAAATTGCTTGCTTGCTTCTAAAAATGTTTATTAAAATGGGAAAGTTGTAGTTTAAATGTAAAGCTTTCAGATTGACAAGATTTTGAAAAAAAAATTTTCTTAAGCCTATAAATAAATATAACCAGTTTATCTAATAGTAAGAAATCAAAAAACTTCAAAAGAACAAAATGAACTCATTTAAATTGCTTTTAGTATAAAAAGATAGACACACAACTATAAATTTCAACAAGTAAAAATTTTAGTGCTGAAATATGAAATTTTTTTTTAAACAAATATTGAATCCTTAAGTCTAATACAGTTTTGAAACCCTTTTTCTTTTTTCTAGACAATTGCATATAAATATAACATTGTCCACCAATATGGTTAACCAGTTGAGAAATGGTTTGTCAGCTGGCATTAGTACCATACATAGATTATATTTCTGTAACACACTTGACTCGAAGATATACTCATATGATGAACATTTGGTTCTTCAAAGTGAAGACCTGATTCTGAGTATCCTCTTAAAGAATGTGTTAATACATATAAGTGCAACGATTTCTCTAGTATAAGCATTAAATTCAATTAATACTATATGTATTTACAGATTTGTTAATTACAATTAGAAAATGTATTATAATTCAAATATCTTCTTTGAGATTTTAATTTCAAGAAAATAGCATAAATTTAGTCATTAAAAAATAGAGAAAAAAAGAGATTCAAATATCAATCATATATCAAAGGTAGTTTTAATTTAAAAGTCTATCAAAAATAAGTCAGCCTGACGGAAGTGAAAGTTAGTTAATGATTACTGGACTTTGAGTAAATATTATAGTTTACTTAAACTATATTAAAAAAAAAAAATACATTTGATTTCAGCTGGTGTCTATGTTTGTCAATATCTTAAAATCAAAATGGGATAAACCTGTGCAAATTAATGCTAATCTCATGTTACAATGTATGGCTCAAAAGGGAAAAAATTAACTGTTTCAGGTATGCTCATATGCTAAATAAATTAAATTTAGGGTTGGAATAACTATAATTTTTTTAATTAGAGTATTATTTCATACTAGCTTAAGAGCTGCATTCTATACAAACTTTTAAGCTAGCTCTTGTGGAGGGCTAATTGGCCTCTGGCCCTAAACTAAAGGGACATATAATAATTTTGAAGAAATAACAGTTGTTCAACTCACTCCAGGGTAATTTAGCTAGTTTTGTTATAATCTGCATCACTTATTTCGTATGTTCTTCCAGTACTTGTAGATGGACTGATGGCACAATGTTCTTCAATGGAATTTAAACATAAATCGCCACCCTCTGGCCATTTGAAGTTATTTTTGCTGTCCATGGGGATGCTTAAAGTCAACTTTTACTTCACTCTCTTCCTTATCAACAAGAGTAACCATACCAAACCTCCAAAAAGAATTATATACAGAGGTAACATATGAGGACGGCCCTATATCACCGATAATGTTGAAGTTATGGATATCAACAAACAAATCGTCCTCACTGGAGAATTTATGTCCAATTTGTGAAGATGACAGTGGAATGAAATGATGGCTGCTTCTTGTTCCTGGTACAGTGTTACCATCTTGATATTACTTTTCCATCTTCTTCCTCACTTCATGCATATCCTCCTTGTTGATACCATAGAACCTGACTGATGTCATTTCCTCCTGACATAAGTCAAGCATAGCTTTGTAATTGAGAATTTGATTGTTTATTGGTCACTGTAAACTTAGTTTGGCTGTGTGGTGTTTTACTGCACCACCTATGCCATCACAAGGCAATTTACCATGACTTATAGCAAAAACACACACTCAGCATTCATCCCAAAATCTTGTTTATGGGCACAAATTAAAAAAGTTTTTAAAATTTTTGTGCTGTCCACAACTATCAGAAAAGTAGATCGTTTTTGACATGCAGGTGTGTCTCATATATAATCTACCATTATTGTCTGAATCTGGTACATAAAGCTAGTGCCGTGAGCATTATCATCCGAGATGAAACAAAAGTCATGTTACAAGTTTCCATCTGCATCCTTGTAATACACCACTAGTGGATGTAATGTTCAGTACTCTTTACTCCAATGATATCTTTAGATTTCATCCTGTATCAAGAACTGGTAGTTATCTGCAAAATCTTACACAAGCACTTCATTTTCATCCAGTGATTTCCTTCTTCGACTTTAGGTATTTTGCTTGGAACCTGACCAGATAAGAATGTTGTGTGAGATTGTTTGTTTCAATCACAAGATCTTTATACTCTTCATATGTGGTTGTCACTGTTGTCAATGAGGCATGAACAGTAGTGTCCCATTGACAGTAATGAAACTCTTCATCCATGTCATCACACAATGATGCATCATGCATTCCTTGCTTTTCTATCAGTGTTACAAACTCTGTTTATAAGGTCTTTGTAGGTAATGTCAATAGCATCAACTAGAAGTATTGCATTCTGATGAGTGCTGCATACATAGACCGAGTGAATGCCTGATGATCCAACAAGGATACACCATTTTGGCTGCAGAGTGCAAAACTTAGAGAAACCAAGTTTTATATCAGGATATTTTCCTTAAATGAGCTGTACATTTCTGAGATTACAGAGAACCAATCATTTGTATTTCTGAATTTGGTTAATGATATTGACAGTCCTTCTTACCAGGCATTTGGCAACTGAACTTGTCAGCTTCATGAAACTTTAAAACAAGGTCAAGTGTTTCTTGGGGACAGGTTTAGCCAATATGCCACCTTTTTTAAATCCCAAGCAATTCGTACCAGATACTCAGAAACATGAAATTGTTCAGAACAGTTCTTATGTGACCATTTGTCAGGCACCATGAGAATTTGTATCTTTTTAGGACATGACGCTGTCTTCAGTTTTTCTCTCCTGGCATCATGTAGTCTCTCCAGCTCTCATTCTCCCTGAGAATGCATGATGAGTAAGCCATGGTTTGGCATCATTGCTCAGGTCCACTCAAAATTGATGGCAAATTGTAGCCCATCCCACTCCCATGAGTGGAAGCCCCCCCCCCTCATTTACAAGATAAGTGATGCAGATTATAACAAAACTGTAGCTGCATTTGCTAAACTTTATTCCTTGATAAAAATATGTTATCAAATGTTTTAGATGGTGGATTATTTTTCTGGATGTGAATATTTCTCATGAGATTGTTTTTGTTTCTCTACTGTTGTACTGCTTAGTATTTTATGATCACCTGACCTAATAAAAGCCTTAAAAAGACTAAGGCATGAAAAGAGTGTCACTCTAGTTACTCATCCATCTTGTCTTACTGAAAAATCCATTGTTATTGGACTTCCTTGGAGTGTATTCTGGAGATTAAGTTTACATACCAATGGCCAAAAAAAAAAAAAAAAAAAAATGCCCATTTTCGATTGTTAATTGTGAGCTAATGATGAGAGAACAAGACTTCATTTTCAATTCCATTCATGATTGTAGCACGAGGAACACTTTAAAAAAAAAAAATTTTTCATTTACCTATAGTGCCACATCTTTTCAAGATATTTCCCCATATGCTAAAATTTACTCAAATTGTCATATAGCTCAAAAATGGGTTGATTTCTAAGTGTTTTTGATGTCATTTTTGGTTTCCTCACCCTCAAAAACTTTCATGCGCAAATTTTCATGGCTCTAGTCTGTCTGAGTGGAATTTTATTGAAGAAAAAGTGATTTTGTAATACCACGGTTTTTTTGTGAATAGCGTTTCATGCAAAATCTTAAAAATGGCATATTTTCTGAACCACTTGGACTTAGAGGCTCAAACTTTTTTAGGATTATCTTGTTTTAATGATACCTACCACTGGTTAAAATTTTAAGAAAATCCGTGAGGTAAGGGTAACAACTTTTCATTTTTCTGAATGATTTAATATAGAATTACCCTCCATGGAACTTCAAAAACCTCAAACTCTGATTCAGGCCATAAACCCAGTTCCAGCACAAAAAAAAAAAAAAAAAGATTTGGACTGAGGCTGAAATTCCAATTCAGGTCAAAAATTGAGTTCATCAAATCACAAACCCTGCAGAACTTCAAAACCTCAGGTCATGAAACCTCTCACTTTAACTGATTCCTTGGCATTTTGAATAAATAAAATGGATTTCCTCAATTCACAAAGTTTTGGAGATATTTTAAACTGAACGTAAAACTTTTTTAAATTTGCAAAATTTTTGTGTTACTTACTCAATATAAATTAAAAACTTTTAAAATCTACTTTTTATTTTAAAATTGAATTTAATTGTTGCTCCTTCATCCAGACACAAATCCCAACACTGGATGTTCAAGCATCAGATGAAGAGCAGATTCCCAAACTCAGGATCATCCCAATTCCAAAAAGGTATATGCCTATGTAGAGCAAGTGTGGCCCGAGTTAGAGGGATTTCAGACACATGGACGGACAGACAGAATTTGCAGTTTATTTAATTAGAAGATAGATGATGTATAATGCAGAAAATGGAATCAACAAGCAAAGTTCATCTGCGTTGCATTCACTTCACATTATTGCACTTGGGAAAGGCATGAATCTACCCCCCTCAGCTAGAGGTAAAATAGTAAGGCAGACTAGGCTCTTTAACAACCAGTCAAGGAAGAGGACAACTCTGAAATTCAAAACTATAGTGGAAGCAACGGAAAACCTGTAATGAGCAATGATTGCCCACATCCTCAAGTCATATATGACCTTAAAAAATACACTAACCTGATAATTACAGCTTAATAATGGAAGTTGTACCAACAGATTGCTGACAAGATAAACCCCACAATTGTCCAGAAAATGTTTAAATAAAATGTATAAAGATTTTTGTACTTCATTTTTCATCATCTTCAATTGAAATTCTTTGATTGATGACAATTTTATTCTTTATAAGAATTTTTAAAAATACAATGATGTACTATTTTTGGATAATTCTTACATTTCTAGATTAAAACACTTACATTTATAAAGAACATAAATATTAAAATTATTTAAATTTATTTAATCCTTTTTCTACCAAATGATTCTTTACCACAAAAATGAAAAAATTTACTCACCTAAATTTATGTCATCATTTTCATGTGCTTCCTCATCAGCCATTTTATCTTTATTTTCAATTTCTTTCTCTACATTATTTTCATTAGCTACTTTTGCTTTTTTCTTAGCCATTTTGTTATTGTTAGACAAACTTATAGGACTAGACTGTTCTCTAATCTTAGGGTCAACTTTTGGAGAAACGTTCTCTTCAATTGTGGTCTGCTGTATGTCTTTATCTACCAAAACTTCTTTAACTCTATCTGTATTTTCAGTGGACTCTTGTGAACTTTCATCAAGTGATTGCTCACTTTCTCGCTGTTTTCTTTGTAATTCTTCTTCTGAAAATAGTAAAAGAAAAAAAAAAAAAAAAATTTTTAAAAGAATGATTTCAAACAAAAATTCAAAATGAAATGTACAATTACCAACATCCAAACTTGAAAAAAACAAAAAAAAAAAAAAAAAAAAAACAATTCTTTCATTAGCTTTTACCTTTTTATGAAGAATAATCAAAATGAAATAAGTAAAGGAAAAAGAAACTAAATGTTAATCTTCCATGTTGTTTAAGACTTTTGGTCTACTTTCTCTTACAAAATTTTAACAAGAGCATAAAACAAACTTCAATTTATTCATGCCATTAACCTTCATATTATTTTCTGAACAGTAAGACAATTTAAAATGTACACAAGTTGTCAAAAGAAAAACTTAATTTATTACTAATGACTTCATACAGCCAGGACCTACACAAGTTGAAACTATTAAACCAAATCAGATTACATATTTTTTTCATTTTTATATTAAAGTGCAAGATTTTTGAGAAAATTTATAAGATGGTTGTAATGAGTTACATTTTAAATTTGCTAATGAAATTTCTAAAATTATAATTTTAATAGTTAAAATATGAAGCATGGAAAAAATGAATTCTTTATTAATTTAGTTGATAGTACTGTTATGAAGCTTTTTGCAGACTAGTTTTATACATTAAAGTTCACAAGACTCAAATTATTTTTTCCATCTAACACTTATTTCTCTTAAGCAAAAATAACAAATGCATTAATCTCATTTTAATGCCTGCTCATTAATTTAACATACTAAACAAAAGGAAAGAAATAGCACTTATCTAAACTACCAAACTTGTTTTAACTTCACTAGTAAGATATGGCAACCTACTGTGGGAAAAAATCTGCCTCATCAGTCATGTATTGACAAGATACATGATTACCTAAGCGTGTATCACGCATGACACATAATTGACTGAGATAATTATTAATAATATTTAGAGGTTTTACTCTATGATAAATCAAACTTTACTAAGGTAATGAAAAAAAAAAAAAGTATGTTTCATAAAAAAAAATAGGTACCTCCACTGAATTTTCGATACCTAAGTTTTAAAAATGAAAACAGATTCTTGAAGCTTTGTTTTTTATTTTTAGCTTTACTCGAAAGCTAAATGATTAAATTTACTATTTCCAGTAAGCAAAATACTCTGGTGTATTTCAATTAGAAATTATATTGATTAGAATCTCAACTTTTTGCTCACTTTCAGAAGTTGTTCAAATTCAGCCATTTTGACACATTTTCAAGCAAAAGTTAATTCTCAGTTTTAAAAATCTTTCACAAATAAAATATACTTTTCTGAAACTTTGAGGAATATTAGCTAATTTAAAGTATAATTAATCTGATTCAAACAATGTTTAAAACAGAGAAATGGATTTAAAAAAAAAACAGTAGCATGAATAAGTGCTTGTCAACACCTTGTATATCTAGTGATTTACAAGGTGTTGACACTTATTGTTCTAAGGGGACCTTATCTGTTAAAACAATTTAAGAAAATGGGATTACTTTTTTTTTTATATGTATAAATTTTAAGTACTCAGCAATCTTAAAAATGTTGGAAAATATTCTATGTAATCTAATTTTAGGAATGTTGAATCTAAACTTGCTAGTCATTGCTCTTATTTTGTTTATGTTGTGTATGGTCACGTTACATATACATAAGAAAAAATTAAAAGGTGTCAATGACTTTTCAGCATTTCAATTTTTTATTCATATATAGTTTTCACTTAACCAGATGGAAGTAATGCAGCATTTTAAATGATTTATATTATAAATTATTATAATCAAAGTTTTAAAAAATGAAAAAAATTCATTATGTAAAAAATGATTTTTCTTATGAAAATAGTGTCCTTAATAAATCTTATTTATAAAAACAATTAAAAGCTTTTCTAATTAAATAATGCCATAGTTTTATCATTTTTGATTTTACAATTTGGAAAAGATTTCGGGAAATGATTAATTCATTAGTAGTCTATAAAAAAAAAAAATTAATGACTTACATTCTCCAAGTCCTGCTTTTGACTAATAAAACAAATTTTGGGATTGAAATTTAATTTCTCGAAATTAACTACAGACAAGGTGCTTTGATTAGGACAGTTATTTTTATATAATTTATCATCTGAAAAGAAAAAAAAATTAGATCACATGAGAAATTGTATAAAAAAACTAAATCAAAGCACCTTAACTCTTGTGCATGAAAGAAGGATTGCTGCCTTAAATACACAAATTTTATATTTATATATATATATATATATATATATATATATATATATATATATAAAATTTCATTTATTTGTCAATAAGTACTCAAAATTTTATTAAGATCGGACAATTATTTGATTTTTGCAAGAATTTCCAAATCAATGTTTTTTTTTTCAACGAAAAAAAAAAAAAAAAAAAAGCACTAAAAACACTAAACGCAATTATTACGTCAACCGTGACGTAAAAAAAAAAAAAAAAAAAGAAAAAAGATTTTTAACAAAACTTTCGAACGTGTTAGAAAGGAGAAAAAAAATAATTAAAAAATACTTTTTGTTCTTTCCTCTTAATAACAAACATTTTGTTTTGACGATAAAACTGTTTTTATTAGGGCCTTTTTTCCTCATGCTATGCTGTTTTTCAGCGAAATAGTAAAGGCACGTACATAAAAATTATGCTAAGTTATGATTATGAATACATAATTCCTACATTAAATAAGAGAAAATTATTAAAATTCTAGTATGGTGAAAAATCAAATATGAAATCATTTATCATGCTACAACACAAAGGACTTAATTTTGACTTACAAATAATTTAAAATAAATGTTCTGTAAGCAAACATTTTTACATTAAGTAAACGTAGAAGGATATTGGACTACTCAACTGTAATGAACATTTTAAAATCTAGACTTATTTAGTCAACAAAATTCTACAAACTTTATCAAAAAAAAAATCATGTGCTTCAAGCAGAATAAAAATTTTAAAATTAAACTAATACTAATTTAATTTGAATACATGTTTAAAAAAAATATGAGCTCCTAGCCAACTGTTTTATCTTAAGTCATTGTGATTTGATATAATTCCCTTATTTCAAATATTTAACTTAAAAATTAGAGCAAAAGTTTTCAGTCTCAACATATAAAAAATATTACCATTTATTATCCTAAATTGCTCGCGAACACGAAAAGAAATAAAATACCTTTGTTGTTTAATACAGGAACGTTAACTGCTTTCCCCGGAAATTACAAGATATACATACCTAACAATATCAGTATAAAAAAAAAATACAATAAAAACGAAGGTTTGAGGATTATAACAATGTACATTAGTTTCTTCAGAAATGAAATTCAATTCGTGTGGTTCTCTGGCAAACACAGAAACAGTGGTCTTTATACATTGAAAATACGCCTAACTTTCCAATTGCAGGGCTGAAGATTTTTCTAGTTCGATCAAATTATTTTAATGTTAGAAAATGAATTAAATCAGTCATTAATCATTTATAGAAAATAATAAGTACCTAGTAAATGAAATTAAATTTGTTGGATCTTTTTGTGCTTATTTAGAGCAAAAAAAACAATGACAAAAAAAAAAAAATAATTAACAGATTTCGACGTAAGTTCAAAAAAATATCACCCTTTTTCTTAAATTAATTCTTATCTTTGGAAATGAAAAAGAAAAATATTTTTCTACGTTTAAAATCAATCAATGGCAGAGATGGAATGATGGAAAGCAATAATGTTGTGACTTAGGAAAAAAGAACTAACGCTGAATGAAAAGCAAAGTAATTCTCATTCATATTAATTCAGAGCAACAAGAAAAATGCTTTTATAATAGCGCCTTCTACAAAACGATCCTGAGCAGAAAGTTAGAAAAAAAAATAATACAATCATTTTTTTTTTTGTTTTGATGCCCCTCGCCGCCCTTCCTCGGAATATTTAGAGATTAAAAACGTAGCTGTGGAGAAGAAGTAGTTAGCAATAGTGAACACAGATTAAATAAAATTTAAGGTTTTTTTTGTTGTTTTTTTTTTAAAGAGAAAAATAAAATGATGATCGAATAATAAACTGATACGGAGAATAGAAGAGTCTGTTCAAATAAGAAATAAGAAAAAAAACGACAAATTAAAAATGAGAAAGATTTACAGGGAGATCAGAAAAACGGGAAAGAAAACGAGGGGTGGAGAGATAAATTACTGAAATAAAGAAGCAAGGTAATGTTGCTTGGTTGTTTAGTTCGACATTTTTCTTTACTAACCTCTTTGCAATGTCGGAAGCAAATTGTTGCCCCCCGCCCTCAATCAATTTTATTAAGTATTTTATCATCTTTGGGGAAACAACAGCAATGACGCCAAAGTTGTTCAGTACCCCGCCAAAAAAAAAAAAAATGGTTTTTAAAGTGTCCCTATTGTCATATTGAAATGGGGTCATTGGTTGTTCGTTGTTAAACAAAAAGAGACGGTGGAGGCGGCGGCAATCGCCATGTCTGGCGGCCTGGATGGTGGCGAAAACAGAAACGAAAACGACAGAAATGAATAAATATCTATATAGGACAAACGATAAACTTTAAACAGAGATAGAGTAATTTCAATAGCAAAAATAATGGAAGAGAATGCGATTATTTGCTAACTCTATATGTTTTTAAAGCCACATGGAAAGAAACAAGTATTGATTTTATTTCATACAATCACGAAGAAACTATGGAATTATTTAATAAAAAAGGGAAGTGTACATAACTAAAAAAAAATGCTCAAGATAAAAAGATGCAAAATACAGTGCAATGCTTTAAAGAGACTAGATTATTTTAATGTCCCCCATTTTTACGACTGCACAAGTCCAGCAGATAACGACCTCCATTGTAAATTATTCAAAATTTAATTTTTTTTTTTTTTTACTACGGCTTCGACATTAAAATGGGCACCAAGTATATAAAGGATCTACATAAACATTTTTTATGAAAAAAATTTATCATCAACAGATTCTCCGATGCCTTAATAGATTTACACAGGACAATCAAATGTAGCAGTAGA